TTTATTTCAGGCTTAGAGGAGAAGCATTTAAGCATGTTCAGAGTCCAGTTAGAAATAAGTCAAAAGATTCCCTGTTATAATGGGGTTATTATGGAGTATTAGAATTCTAATTCATTTATTCTACAGATGTTAATTGAGCAGTCACTATGTGCCAGGTGCTGGGGGAACAACATAGAGGAAGACCTTGTTTCAAAGACCTCTCTTTGTAGAGGTTACATTATATGCCTTTTGCTACAAAATAGTTGAAGCACACAGTGATGAGGATAAGAACTTTTCCACCTGCCTGTCCTGACACCCCCTTCCAGACTGGGTTGGAGCCTCCTTCCCTGCCCCCTTCCCTGTCATAGTGCTATCACACTGTGTGGTTATGCTAGTGTAACTGTCCTTTCTCCTCTCTAGAAAGTGGCTAGAGGAGAGTGCCCATGTCAGTCTTAGTCATAGTTTACATCTCTAGTACATTTTTTAAATTAAAGATTTCTTTATTAATTTGAGAGAGAGAGAGGAGCACGGGGTGAGGTCAGAGGGAAAGGGAGGGAGAGAATCACAAGCAGACTCCCAGGCGCCCCTCTCTAGCACATGTTTGATGAATATTTGAGTGGATGGATGGGTGGGTAGATTAATGATTTGCCAGGTTAAGATCAAAGCTCTTTGCATAGATAGGCAGTCTGGCAGAGTGGTTAAGAGTTGTGTACTCTAAATTAGTTGTGAGACTGTGGGTCCGCTTTTAAATTCCCAATGTCAGGGGCGCCTGGGTGGCTCAGTCAGTTGAGTGTCCAGTGATTTTGCCTCAGGTCATGATCTCAGGGTCCTGGGATCAAGCCCTGCCTTGGGCTCCGCATTCAGTGGGGAGTCTGCTTCTCTCCCTCTCTCTCTGTTCCCCCCACCCCCTGGCTTGCATTCTCTCTCTCCCTCTCTCAAATAATCTTTAAAAAATAAATAAAATAAAATAAATTCCCCAATGTCTCACTTTCCTCATTTGTGAAATGGTTATAAAAATAGTGCCTCCGCTTGGGACGCCTGGGTGACTCAGTCGTTAAGCGTCTGCCTTCGGCTCAGGTCGTGATCCCAGGGTCCTGGGATCAAGTCCCGCATCGGGTTCCCTGCTCGGCAAGAAGCCTGCTTCTCCCTCTCCACTCCCCCTGCTTGTGTTCCCTCTCTCTCTGTGTCTCTCTCTGTCAAATAAATAAATAAAATCTTAAAAAAAAAAGAAAGAAAGAAAAGAAATAGTGCCTCCCCTATAGTGTTATTAAGTGAACTATATAAAGTAAACATATAAAGTGGTTAGCAAAGTTCTGGGACAAAAGTTGTTCAATAAATACTACCTGCTCTTATTACCAATATAGAATGGCAATTTCCTGGGGGACAGTTTGCTATTCAAATATTGCATCTCTGCCCTTTCAGCTGCATTGTAAGATCAAAGGATGTCAATTAGGAATTCCAAGCTAAAGGCGTCATTTTGAGTTCAAGCTCTCCGAAAAGATTAAAAAGAGAATTGGGGAATTAATATAAGCAGGATATTGAACAAGAAAATTAAATGGACTAGAAAAAGAGAGGAGGAAACCAGCTCAAGGTGGCATGTCCAAAGCAACTTTTCTGGGGCAATAATCACCTCTAGTGCCCTCACCCTCCCCTGTAGATAGCCCAAGTACCAGCTCATCCCCGTTCTGGAACACACCCATGCCTCATAAAATGTCACGCCTCTTAGGCATCAATACATGTTCACTGATGCAGAAGAAAGAAAAGTGGGAAAAAAATTATTTGAAGTGGAGTCTTATCTAAACCCAAAAGTGTTATAGTATCCTTTTCATTTCTTTTGAAAATTGAATAATCCTCTTTTTGTGTGAGACCCTTGGTCAGAATTATCATAGCGCCTCCTCCCAGACAAGTCCTTATTACCTTCTGAATGAGACCAAACGCCAACCTGTGACCAACATATGGAACCCCAGCATCCTCTCTGCCTCCCTCTGCTTCTGGCAAACAGAATTCACATGGTCTCTCTCCCAACCACGGGGGAGTCTCCTGGCTTTCGTCTTCCCCTCAGAATAGTAAACTTCTCCTTTACTAACTCATCAACTGGGAAGTCATTTTTAAGTAAAATTAGCTTAGGATCACTCTATTGATGGAAAGAAACTGGGCCTAGAAAGAAGACATAACTGACCCCAATTCTTCAGTTACCAGCTCTTTTTATTCCTCAAGGCTGTAGATACTTCCTCTACTCCACAAGGGAGATCTTGGTCCTTAAATTTTTAATAAGATGTTTTATTGCCTAAAATTTTCAACAAAGAAAAAAAATCAATCAGGTTGACCTAGTTCTGGTTTTGATGGGCAGGAAAATCAGGTTATAACTGAGGACAAAGAAGTTGTTCCACAGGTTTCCTCCATTTAGGAGAAAACTTTTTTTTTGATGCAAACACAAAAGAGGTGATATGGTACCCCTGTGACCTTTGGAGTGAATTCTTTCTCCTAGGCTCACGGAAGTCACCATTTTACCCACTTACATCATATGTCTCTAAAAGGTTCAGTAGAGTCACCTGAAAGGAATCTCTTAGGAGAAGAAATAAAACGCATGTAGAAAATAAGAGGAACAAATAATAATTGTGATAAAATTTACTCTCTGAGCCCTTTACTAGGACCAGGCACCATTAAGTATTCTTTACCAATGTTGTGCTGTATCATCTTTACAGCAACACAGAAATAATCATCTCTGTGTTACTGACAACATAACTGATGTTCCCAGGGGTTAAACAGCATCCTGACTATCACACAGTAGTAAACTCCAGCTTGCCAATTTCAAAATCCACACTTTTATTACAGCCCCCCAAAATTTAATGAAGCAAATCATTCTCCAGTGGGATATTGAATTCTGTTGTAGAAATAGGATCTCAGATTTGATGAAATCTTAGTAATTTCTTCTTAAAACCTTCCTGCTGATTGATAGCAACCCTCGGGAGGTGTGGTCCAGTCTCTGCTTGAACGGTTTCCCTAATGGAAATCTCACTACTTCAACTAGGCAATCGCTTTCCCTTTAGATAGCTCTTATTATTTAAAGTTTTCCCTGAGATTCACCTCTGAAAACAATAAATTCCAAACCTTCACCTCCATGACTGCCTGTGACATCATTTAAAACCTTTCAGATCTTTTAAGACCTCCACGACACGTTTCTCTCCTCAAATCTTCTCTCAACATTGCCCTTGAAAACCTTCCAGACTTGGGAGACCAACCATAAGAGACTCTTCATCTCAGGAAACAAACTGAGGGTTGCTGGAGGGGAGGGGGGTGGGAGGGATGGGGTGGCTGGGTGATGGATACTGTGGGAGGGTGTGTGCTATGGTGAGCGCTGTGGATTGTATAAGACTGATGAATCACAGACCTGTACCCCTAAAACAAATAATACATTATATGTTAATTTAAAAAAAAAAAACTTCCAGACTTTTCTCTATTTAGCTTCCTTTGGATGTGCTCAGCCTGCTGGAGTAACTGCTTTTAACAGCTGGAAGAAGGATGCTAATCAAAGCCAAGTGCTGTAGCCCCCTTTGTCACCTGTGGCACAGTACTCCTATAAATACAGAAGAACACTGGCACTGTGGTCTGAATGTATCCTCCCAAAATCCATGTTGAATCTGAACCCCCAAAGGGATTAGAAGGAGGTGGGGACCTTCAGGAGGTGTTTAGGTGATGAGGATTGAGCCCCCTATGAATGGGATTAGTGTTCTTATAAAGAGGCTCCAGAGAGATCTCTTGCCCCTTCCGCCATGCGAGGATACAGTAGAAGGTACCGGCTATGAACCAGGAAGAGGGCCTTCGCCAGAATGATAGGGATGCTGTCACCTTGATCTTGGACTTCTTAGTCTCCAGAACTGCAAGAAATAAATTACTATTGCTTATAAGTTACCCAGTTTGTGGTGTTCTAACAGCCCAAATGGACTGAGACAATTAGATTGCTTATTTGCCCAACATTTCACAACACTAACGACTCGTAATGAACTTGAAGTCAAATTAAATTCTTTAGTTTTTTTTACTTGAACTGATCATCGGCCACATTTTCCCCCATCTGACCCTTAGACAGTTAACTTTTTGAATTGAAGAACAAGATTTTATATTTCCCCCTAAGTTTTACCATACTTGGAACCCTGTAACCTGCTAAGTCTTATAACTCCACCCCATAACTTGGGCTTATCTGTAAATTTGATCATGCATAATTTCTATGATTTAATTCAGATGGACAAAAATGCTACCGTGGTCAGGAGAAAATGCAGACCTGTGGGCCTCACCAGTGGGTCTTTAACCCACTCCCCGACTTGATGATGCTTTACCAATTACGAAGCACTTGCACAAACATTTCATTTGGTTCTTACAAATACCTTGTTAATCAGATACTATTATCATGATATGTGAAGACAAAAATTCAGAAAGACTATCTGACTTGCCTAATGTGACACAGCTAATGTCAAAATAGGAAAAAGCCTTAGGGCTTCTGATTGTTTCCAGTGCCTTTTCAAAAACAGATTTTTAAACAGATTAAAAAAAGATTAACTTTTTCCTTTTTCTCCCCACCATGGATATCAAAAGAGACTAATCAAAATCAAAAAACATTTTCAAAAAAAAAACAAACATATTTTCTACAAACAAAATCTCACATAAAACCCGCCATATAAAGCAGATCAAAAGCTGGCTGTTCTGCTAGAAATGAGGTGCAAGACTCTTAGCCTTGTCTCTGTCCCACTTGGGGGTCCCCTCAACCCTGCTATAGATGGTAACATGGCACCTAATAGTCCCCCAGGGACATTCGGAAGTGACTAGCCAATGGCATGTTTTCAAACTGTAACCTTCTCTGAAAACAATTTTTAAATATGACTAGCTTGTTATACCTTGTTTTTGTAATATATTCTAGAATTTTGTGGGAGATATCCATTTAAGAGGTTGCATAATCTTTTACATGGAACAGAATTGTTTTGAAGTTTGAAGGCAACTTTGGGTTAATTCAAATCTTTATTTCACAGATGAAGAAACAGCAACCCAGAGAAGAGGAGTAACCCACACAGGATCATTCCACAGAGGCACAAAGACAAGAACCCAGCTCTGGACCCTCCTCGGCAGGTAAATTCTTCTGATTATATCATGGAGTCTCACTTTTAGAAATCTGACCCTTTTGATGACAAGATGACATCTTCAACAACACGGGGCTTCTGGTTCTCACTTAAGCAACCAACAAACATTATATCCTTGATATTATAATGACATTTAAGATGATACAAAGGAATAAAATGGGGCAATTAGCTTTAGCAATGAGGCCTTGAAACAGCTTAGCTAACAGACATCACAGGCTTCTTTGAAAGCGTGTGCAGAAAAAGGTTTATGCAAAATTTGCTAACATCTCAAGGGGTTTCTAGATGCGCCCCACCACCAAGTGCTTGGCCTCCAGGTTAAGAACCTCTGGCCAAGCCTAGTACAAGTGCCAGGGTCAGGACTGCATAATGCCAGCTCCTTTCTTATTTATGGGTCTGCTGGTTAAAGGCGTCTTCTGTTTCAGCATCCTTCATCTTTTATTTAAATGGAGCGGCATCTTATCCTGGAAGACCTTTGATACAAGAGCGTACTAAATGTTTTAATAAGTATTTAATTAACTGGATGGGACAAATTGAGAAATATGATAAAATGAAAACATTTTTCTTTCAAAGATGTTAGCAGTGAAAGTGAGGACGATCCGTGCTTATAATAGGACCTTCATTTTTGTTCTGTTTCTTTTATTTTTAAGAAAGTAAGAAAAGGAAGTAAAATGAAAAAAAAAAACCAAAACCTAGATTACCACTAATTGTTGTCATGACCGCTTTGATGAAATCTATGGGAAATGGGGAAAAGAGTAGGGGTGGGGACAAAAAGAAGTAGATTTATCTTCTAAATTGTTTCTTAATCCTTCCCTTTGCCACAATGTTTTAAGAGATTTATGGTTCTGAAATGGTTGGCAAAAAATGTCTTCATTTTAAAATAGTTTGGGAAGCTCCTAAATTACTTTATTGATAACGAGGACTGATTTTCCTAATTCAAAGCCACTCATGGGACCCTTCGCATTTGTACAGCACTCCCACAGGAGGGCCAGTACGGCGATGGAAACAACGCTCGGAGTGAGAGAATCCTAGGACCAAACCCCACTGTTGTTTCCGCTTTGGCTTTTGGCAATAAGCAAAGTGCAAAAAGCTAATGCGCTTCAGTTTTCTTGTCCTTTTTTTTTAAGATTTTATTTATTTATCTGACACACACAGAGAGATAGAGCAGGAACACAAGCAGGGGGTGGGGGGGGGGGGGGGAGAGGGAGAAGCGGTCTTCCCGCGAAGCTGGGAGCCCGACGCGGGGCTCGAACCCAGGACCCTGGGATCATGACCTGAGCCGAAGGCAGACGCTTAATGACTGAGCCACGCAGGCGCCCCACTGAGCCACCCAGGGGGGCGGGGGGAGCCTAGTTTTCTGGTCTTTAAAATGAAGTGGTATATTTTTTATCTCCTTGATGACAGCCACACCAGAACTGAATAAACATACTAAAGAAGAGTATCTCTAAAAGTGGCCTCTAATTGAATAACAAAGTTCAGATGCCTTGTCTTAAAGATGAGCTCATGTTCCTTTAATCTATACCTGGTATTCATAGCTAAGGCAATGATTAGTAATATTAATAGAGTGTGCAGTGTAAGTAATGTAGTATATAAAACACTATGTAGTAATCATAATAGTTAATATTCATTTAGCTCTTCCTATGTATTATTGTAAATACCTTACACTTTTTAATCTTCCCAGAAATCTTATGAAGTTCTGTTATGATTCCTAATTCCCACTTGAGGAAACTGAGTCAGAGCGGTTGAGTCACTTGGCCAGGGTTAAACCCAGATGTGATCCAGGGCCAGAGCTCATCACTACTCATCACACCCAGTCTCTCAGTGAGATTCTCACCCAGCTCCACATTCGGTCACTGTGAAACTTTTGCCCCCAGTTTTTTCATCCTTAAAATAGAAGGCACTTAAGTTAAGCATCTAGCCAGTGCCTGCCACAGTGGTACTTAATAAACGTTTTTTCTGTTCTCTGAAGAGAATTTCACATTATAAAATTCTAATGTTTTTTCTGTATTTTTTATTTTTTTTAAGATTTTATTTATTTGACAGAGAGAAACAAAGCAAGAGAGGGAACACAAGCAGGGGGCGTGGGAGAGGGAGAAGCAGGCTTCCCGCTGAGCAGGGAGCCTGATGCGGGGCTCGATCCCAGGACCCCAGGATCATGACCCGAGCCGGAGGCAGATGCTTAACGACTGAGCCACCCAGGTGCCCCTAATGTTTTTTGGGGTTTTTTTTAAAGATTTTATTCATCTATTTGTAAGAGAGAGAGAGAGCACAAGCAGGGAGAGTGGCAGGCAGAGGGAGAAGCAGACTCCCCGCTGAGCAAGGAGCCCGATGAGGGATTCGATCCCAAGACCCTGAGATCACGATCTGAGCCGAACATAGAGGCTCGACCGACTGAGCCACCCAGGCATCCCAAAATTCTGGTGTTTTTAAAGAGATCTGAATTTGTTTCCTAGGGCTGGTGTAACAAAGTATGACAACATGGGTGGCTTAAAACAAATGTATTCTCTGATAGCTCTGGAGGCTAGAAGTCTGAAATCAATGTGTTAGCTGGACCACATTCCCTCCAAAGGCTTTACGGGGAATTTTTCCTCTGCACCTCCTGTGCTGGGATTCATAACTTAATTATAGCTACAAAGACCCTTTTCCCAAATAAGGCCACATTCACAAGTTCCAAGATGTGGACATATCTCTTTGGGATCCACCATTCAACGTACTATGAAATCTTAATTTAAATATGCTTATGTCCTGGGAGATTCCCTCTGGTATTCTTGACCAACAAGCCCACATTTATTCCAAGGGGGAAAAGAACATTTTATCTCACCCAATTTACGCCTATAGTTAAATTGGTTATAAAATCTGCCGGCTGAAAACATTTTTCTTAATATGCCCAGTTGCCATTAGCCTTCTCACATTTACTTGAAAATCAATAAAATTCTTGGGAAACAAGCAGTTGTTACCCATTTAAAAGAACAGGCCTGCAGCTTAGCACTTGTCCACTTTTCACTAGAATCATGCAAGGTAGCCAGGCACTTGGGAGCAGGTGAAAGAGAATGAAGCCAGTAATAATATGGCTACACAGTTCTTACCGGGAGAATGAGAAATCCACTTGGCTAAATGGTCAATGAGACTTTTTTCTTTTAGTATATCATTTAGGTAACTCAATTTTAAGTACGAAATCATAAGATTTAGAGTAATTTAATTGCCTAAAAGCAACAACCTGTTTTGACGTAACTCTATGAACACCTGTCTTTCCTTTCCCCCCTCCTCGTACCCCTAAATTCCCTACGCCAGAAACTAGCTGACCTAGAATGCCAACCAACCCCGGAGGGAAATGACCTCGGATCTGGGCGTTGACAGAGAAAACATCTCAACAATGCCATGTCTATCTCCATGACCCTTGGAGTCAGCCTAGATTTCTACTTATTTGCCTAAAAGCAATAATAACTGAGACACAGAAGCAGCTCAGTTGAGGGCAGTGAAAAAGCAACAGACTGTATTACTACTGTCACAAAAATCACGCCTATGAGAGTTCAGTGTTGTTGGTCACCAAAATAAGAAAAACACTGAACTCATCACCAGAAGCATTCCAAACAGTGTAATAAGAAGTAAAAAACAAACCAGAAGAATGAGAAAGAGGAGGAAGGATAGAAAATTAAAAAAAACAAAAAAGTTTTATGAGCAAATATTCAATGTTATCAAAAAAATAAATTTCCAAAGAAAACTACTGTTAGGACATACTATTGGAAGTGTCTTGATTGACCAGCTGCCTGCCTATCAAACAGATTTCCATTGACAGAACTCTGGGAGCAAGTGCTTACCAGGTATGATTGTGACAGATGAGTGTTGCAGTAACTCACCTTCTTCGGCCTCAGATTGTTTCTTAGAAATAAGTTTTCTGTTTCTGAAGACACATCAAATATAATGACGATAGATAGGATGAGATAAAGGTTTAATTTTTCATGGTCAGGCCTCTAGCTCCTAAGAAAACAGAGTCCTTAGAAACAAACAATAAGAACGTAGTTCCTTTACTGAATTGTGGGTTTGGGCGCCGGGGTGGCTCAGTCATTAAGCGTCTGCCTTCGGCTCAGGTCATGATTCCCGAGTCCTGGGATCCAGCCCCACATTGGGCTCCCTGCTCTGCGGGAAGCCTGCCTCTCCCTCTCCCACTCCCCCTGCTTGTGTTCCCTCTCTCGCTGTGTCTCTCTCTGTCAAATAAATAAATAAAATCTTTAAAAAAAAATTGTGGGTTTGATGGCCAAGAGCTAGGGAAGAAAACACAAAGCAGAACTGTTATGATGTGCATGGAATACAGTTGCCTAGAAAGGGCTCTGTAATGACAGTAGAAAAGTTTCGGCCAAACAATTTAACCACTTTTCCACTCTGACTTCTTTTAAAGTGCTTTGGGTACTGGGGTCTTATAAGCCCCATTTTTCACATCACTGTCAAAAACAAATAGGCATATCATAGAATTTACAATTCCCACAAGTACTGTATGTATTCTGTATACTGACTTTCACTGATGCCAAGAATACACGTAAACATGTCATCCCTCCTCTCAGAAGGTTATTTGTAGTTTGGCAGTTTCTGATTTTCCTCTTGTATCCTAAAAGTCAAGAGAAAGGGAACCCCACTGGGACCTCCGAATTATTATTTGAAGATATTTGGGGTTATTTATTTACTCAGCTTTGGATGGTACATCTATGTAATTTTGCTCAGCTAGTCATGCCCCACTACAAATTGAGAATCTCAAGACTTTTAACGACAAAAAATATATATTGTTCAGACTGTTTTATTTAAGATTTCATTTATTTAAGAGAGAGAGAGAGAGCAAGCACGAGTAAGGGGAGGGGAAAAGGAGAGGGAGAAGCAGACTCTGCGCTGAGCAGGGAGCCCAACATGGAGCTCTATTCCAGGACCCTGAGATTATGACCTGAGCTGAAGGCAGATGCTTAACGACTGAGCCACCCAGGCACCCCAGTTTCTTCTTCTTTA